TACTAGGCACATGCAAAGAATGAACGGGATCAGTCCACAGGATTCTGAAATATGACTCTGGACAGAGGGACACATGGACAGAGGGACACACGGACGGACGGACAGACGGACGGACACACGGACGGACACACGGACGGACAGACTCAGGAACTCACGGACGACCAGGGACATGTATCCTAACATGTATGATCTATGTACCAAGTTTGAATGAAAACTGACAAAGCATGTCCAAAATACAACATTTTCAAAAAACAAGATGGCTGCCAGTCGGCCATTTTGAATCGCATCGCTAAACCACTGCATGTGCATATGTCCCACATAAAGTACTAGGCACATACAAAGAATGAACGGAATCGGTCCAAGGGATTCTGAGATATGACTCTGGATGGACGCACGGACGGAGACCGAATTATAAGTCTCCGTTTTCGGACTTCGTCCGAACGGGGACTAATAATTCAGTGATAATAAATTTCCCGGAAACAATGACAATTTTTGCCCGAAAGTGTGAATGTTTCTTTTTAAAGCAGTAATTAAAGTGCACCATGTAAGCTTTTATTTTATAGAAATGATATTTTCAAATTGAAAACCACATTAAGCCATTCAAGCTGAATTCAAATTTTGCACTACTGAGCATGTCACTGCACATATATGCAATGCATTATGGGAGTTTATTGAAATGTTTTCACAAAATTAGGATTTATGTCAATAATAATAGTATAATATAACTTTTTTAGCCTATGTCACCAAGCAAAATTTTGAGATTTAGGCAAGGGTTCTCCGAACCCGCCTATTCACATACATATGTAGTTCATACCCACCATAGACTCCGGTCAGTCAAAATGACTATTTTGAACTGTAGGCATTAATCAGCGATTCTGTCGGTGACGGAGAGATAGAATCTAGGTCAGGGGAAGCCCCATGACCTCAAAATTCTTTTACCCCTTACTTCACAAATCCACGTGACCCAGGCCACATGGCAACGCCATAGGTCCATCACTCTGGTTCCTTTCTCTTCGCCTCGAGGACTTAGACCACTACGACGGAAAGAGTGGGGAGGTTGGGGGGGACCCGGAGTCGATGGTGAGTGATGAACT